CAAATTTGTTATAAGAGAAAAGCAAAACAAATAACACCGGGAATACTAAGATATGTGAACTAACTCAAGCTGAACCACGTAGTATAATGAAGATAACAATGAATAACAACACGATTATGATTAATATTAAGATATGCATTCATTTATAGCAGGGGTCTTCAAACTTGGCTGAGGAATTCTGGGAGTTGAAGTCCACAAGTCATAAAAAGGCCAAGTTTGAAGACTCCTGATTTATAGGTTTCTTTTTTTAAGGATCATTCTCTTAATATTTATAGCACTAATAAAGAAAAAGCTGCATTTAAGTATGTTCAAAGTGTAATCAGTGTTAAGGATTTTCAGATCATGACATAAAGCTCTCAAAGTGATGGTTTTCATTGAAAAATCTCAGAAATTACATCCCGTAATAGTTATGCTTACATACTAAGAGATTTGACGGGCTGCCACAAGGAGCCAACCTATTCTCCAAAGCCTCTGAAGGCAGAAAAAAAGGCAATGGATGGAAACTAATAAAGGAGAGAACAGACATAGAAATAAATTAGAACAATTCATCAACAGAATGGCTTGCTTTCAGATTGTAGGAGCTCCATCACTGGAGGTTTTTAAGAAGAGATTGGACAACCATTTGTCTGAAATGTTATAGGGTCTTCTGCTTGAGCACTGGGTTAGACTAGAAGACCTTCTGTTATTCTGTTATTTTACTGCCTAGGAGTATTGGAGCTTTAGGTAATTAATTTAAAGCAAACAGGAGTCAAGCAAGACCTCTGGTTTTCTATGATATTTTTCTTCCATTCTTTCATGGGCAATATGTCCTTTAGAAAATCTGTAACATTCTCTATGTAGTTAGTTATTTAATTTTCATGTAATTATTAAATTCATATGTCATCCATCTCATTATCATGTAACTCTGGGTTGCATCATGTTAATATCTTTTATCATGTTGTAAAATACATGACAAAAGATAACAATAATTATATAATAATATAAAACAATAAAACAATAAATATAATATCAGATTAATTGCGTGGCTTGGTGGCCTAAAGGTGAAGATGCTCACCTCCCACTTGGAAAGCTGAGAGTTCAATCTTAGGTAGTGGCAGAAGTTTTTCTCCTAGGGCACAAAGAAAAAATATCTGCTGTAAACTCGTCATGGCGTCAGGAAGGCTATCTGGCCAGTAAATGCTCAGCTCCATCCAGTTGCCCAAACACTACCCCAGATTAAGGGATTAAAGGGTAGTAAAAAGGGAGAGGGTTTTTTGTGATATTAGATTAATGCCTGTATGGTAATTATATAGATAGTATGAGGAATAGAAATATCCCATTCCTTTTGAAATTAGATGTCTTGCTGGCTGGGAATTCTGTTTGAGGCGATCAGTTTACTTCAGTGAGATTGAATAAATAAACTTTATTTTGTTGCTTTCTAATTTCAAAACACTGTTATAGTTGCAGGCTCTGAGCTATTTTTTTGAACTTCTGTTATAATGATACATTCAAATGTATGTATATTCTTGTTACAAATCTCTTTGTGATATTATTATGTCATGAAGTGAAATATTCAATGCATGTAAATATTATTTATTTATTACAATCTGGGATTTTTTTGTTATATATCAGTGGTGGTGAACCTATGGCATGGGTCAATTTCAACTTCTTATGGGAGAAAAAAAAGAGCTTGCAAAGTTGGAATTGATTGATTGAACTTTTTAGTCCCACCCAGTTTGCAATTACCACCGCAGCCAGCCCACCCAATGGGTCACGTCCACCCAATGGCCACACCCACTTAGCACCCGACGATGCCTAAGTGGGTTTTGGGTTGCAGTTTGGGCACTCGGTCTCGGTATATATGATTAAAAAGTTGGGCATTACTGACATTTCTTTGAAGCACAAAATGGGCTTTTCCTCACGGTTGTAACAGCAGTAGATCTTTCTTAATATGAAAAAATATTAAAGCCTATGAATTTTTTAAAATCACTAGTTGCAATTATTTGTCCAAGCCTCAACTATGTCAGTTAGATCATGAAATTTGCTATATCAAATAAAAAACAGCTTCTATTATGTTGAGTGCTATGATAAATTTTCTTTCATTTTATCTTGGAGATAAAACTTATTAATTCAAATGGCAAAATTCCATATTCAAAAGGCAGATTATTGTGTAATGTGGCTTGTGGACTCCCAGATTTTCCCAACAGTTTAGCTTGTTCTCTCTGCTTCCCCCCCCTATTTCCCCCCCCCGCCCGTCACCCTACAATAACTACAGTTCCTTGGGAAGGTAATTCTAATCAAATAGCAATTCCAATATAACTAGGATGGCAACATAAATCAGGTTTAATAATATTTTATTTTACTTGCTTTTTGTCCTTATACAACATATTGTCCTTATAAATCATCTTGTTTTGAAAAACTGTATTCTATCATTTAACTTTGTTTTCTGCCAAATGTGAGGAAAAATTTGAAAATAGGCTCTTGAATGCTGCAGACTTTGATGAGATAGTACAATCAAATAAATGTTTAATTTGCAATCAATCCCATTGTGCTTGGTTGGGCTTATTTCATGACCAACTTGGTTAGACTTACATCCTTACTCTTTTTTCCATGCAGAACTATAACCTTCTTCCTTGTAAATCTACAGTTATAGATGTTGAAAAATCTATTCAAATCTACATTTTAAGTAAACATTTAATTTATACTTCCAGGTGCATTAAATATGCTACCAACATGTTTTTCTAGAATATACATATGTATATATGTACACACACACACACACACACACACACACACACACACACAACAAAAACTAAAAGCACATATATAGTATAGGTGAAACCTGGCTCAACAATAGCAATTGTGAGAGGGTTCTAGGTATGCTACTAGTCCATCATTTTAATATGAGCCACCAATTTGCAGCAGCTACCAAAGAACCTAATGCAGTTCTAAATTGCATTAGCAGAGGGATACTTTCAAGATCATGTGAAATAATAGTATCACTTTATGGTGAGACCACACTTGGAATACCACATCCAATTCTGGTCACTATGGCACCAAAAAAAAAAAAAAAGTTAAGACTCTAGAAAGAATGCAGAGTAACAAAAGTGATAAGGGGTCTGGAGGCTAAACCATATCACAAATGATTGATGGAACTAGGTATGTTTAGCCTAGTGAAGGGAAGGACTGGTATGATATGATAGTAGTCTGTCACAGAGAAGAAGGAGACAATATATTCTTCAAAATTCTGAGGGCAGGATAAGAAGTAATGGGTGGAAGATCATTGAAAAGAAATCCAACTAAGGAGAAATTTCCTGACAGTGACAACAATTAATGAGTGGAATGACTTACCTCCTGAAGTTGTGGGTGCTCCATCACTGAAGGTTTTCAAGAAGAGACTAGGCAGCTATTTATCCAGAATAGTACACAATCTCCTGCTTTAGTAGGACTAGAGGCCCTTCCAGCCTGTTCTCTGTTCTATTAAGGATAGTGGTATCTTTTATGGTTATCTGTTTTAGAACGGCGGCTCTCAACCTTTAATATACCCTACACCCCTAGAACGCTTCTGATATATTCTCGCACCCCTTATAAAAGTTTGAAATAACAGCAACAAATTATGCATAGACACTATAATTTTGAAAACCCAAGTTTTCGCACCCCCTGGAATATCATCTCGCACCTCGAGGGGATGAGAGCACCTCCAGTTGGGAACCCCCATTTTAGAAAATATGTTATAGAAATTGTATGAAAAAGGCAAATTTTAGGAGATGTATAAAAATGAATGGGTTTTTTTGCAATTTTCAGTTCATATAAAAATAAGAGTTAATAGCACACTTTGAAACCTGATCCTATGCCAAGCTGAATGAAGTTGGTATACGTTGCTCCGCATAGCGTCATTCAACAAAAATATTTTAAGTTGTTAAACAATGATACGCAGAAATTTGTTGAATATGAGTTCTATTTTGGCATCTACTCCTCCCTTAATATTCTTAGAGAACCTCTTTAATTTTGGCCTGTTGAACTGAAGTTTATCCTTGGACTGAGATATAGACATATGATTCCCATGATACAATAATATCTTCTTTGGAAATCAGGCCATGTTTTTGACTTTTTCACTGCTACATTTCCCTCCTTTTCTGACAACATATTAAGTTGAAATTCATTTTGAAATCATCTTTTCAGACCACATGGGTGTTATTAAAGAGTAGGAATCATTGCATCTAAACTATATTAAGATCACAAACTACATTAGAGTTCTTAAGTGCTGTATTTGTTCCTTAATCAGTATGGCAGGGTAATGGAATGAAAAACATGTATTTTTAGCCTAAAAGTATTCTGTTTCTATGGTGGATCTAATTGCTTTTAAGCTGAAATGTTTAAGGAATTGCATAATGGAGAAAACCATAGTTGAAAATAGTCTTTTTACAAACAGAATAAAATTGATCTGACAAGTAATAAACTCAAATTCAAAACAAATATCCAGCTGTTTCTTAACATAGTTTCATTTAACAGTATTAGCTATTACACTATAAACATTTATCAATGTCCCCTAAAATAAAATGGACATTTTAAAATAAAAATATAATCCATAGATGCATTTGGATCCCTAAGGTCTATGTTCACTTAGTTTCTCCTAAAACTATCTAATAATTTCCTGTATTTGTCTAATATTAGCAAATGTTTCTCTCCTTCATTCCCCCATTTCCAAATTGTGTTTGATTTTCTTTTCTTTCTCTTTTTAGCACACTTTGGGTTATGTAAGTTTTAATAAGCAGCTTTGGTGCTCAAGGCACACCCCACACACTTATGCTGCACGACCTTAGGTCACAAGTAATGGTTGCAAACTAATTGATTGAGAAAGGTTTGTCTGACTGGGCCTCTTTCGAGTCCTCCCTTTACATTCCTAAATTCTATGAAGGAGCAGTGGCTGCTTAGCTTGGTTGGGAAGGGGGAGGGGGGAGGAGAGAGGAACAGAGGAAGCTCTCCAAGTTCTGATTATGCGCAGTTTCCTTTTTGAACTGAATCCTCTCTCCACCCACTACTAACTAAACTTTTAAACTAGGAGGAGGCGAACAGCTTAAAGCTTTCCTCAGTGCAACGGAAAAGTGAATCCAGGGTGCGGTGAGTTGCCAAGAGCCAGCTGCCTGCTCTAGACAATTACAGGAGTTTTGTGGATATGCTACTCAGAGTTCAGCAAAATGGACTATTGCTCAGTGCAGAAACTTGTTTCAGGCTGACAGGCAAATAAGCCATATCACATAAAGGGCCTCTATGTGGCATCTCTGAGCTGTAAGCTCCGGACAGCCTTGGGGGAAAAAAGTGCAGTGGAGCAAGACAAAAATTACCACAAACTTCAGGCAACTGTTGCTTTCTTTCTGATGGTGAGTCCAGATTTGAAATATGGGTATACATGTGCCCAGTTTTCTTTATGTGCATGTTGATATTTATTTAATTTTTTATTGGGATGAGAGAATAATCTTGATCAGAGAGTTGATTCCAGACTCCTTCCTCTCTATCATGCTTGTCTATTGCCTTCCATGCACATCATTGGGAGGGTTAATGATTCCTGAATGAAAGACCACATTGTTATTTAAACTGATCCAAAGAAGGAGGTGGCATATCTGCATATAAACACTCCCAGGTGTGCGTCAACAGGGACAGTGAGAAAAGAAACAACCATCTATTGTAACAGTGTCTGCAGTAGCCTCTGTTTTGTAAATTCTTTTGCTTGCCCTTATGTGCTGCCTTATCTGAGAATGTATAAGACAGTCACTATGAAAAGAGCTTTGTGTTTGAATTCCTGGTGAGTCGAAGGGTCAAGGCCTGCAAGTTATCTGTCTGCCAGCAAGACTCATTTCTCCGTCCTTTATTTTTCAAGCGAAATGAAGAGGGGGTATCCTTCCTCCCAGCTTTCCCCCCCTGCCCATTCTCATCTGTGCTTGTATTCAACTTTACCCTTTGTTACACAGGAGGCATATATTATTGACAGCTTTTCGTTTCGTTTTTTTTTTTTTACCATATTTACTAGCAACTCTTGGCTAATCACAATGTGTCATTCCTTTGTTCTGAAACAGATAAACTTGATGAAATTATTCTGAGTTTGGATACTACGATAAGTCCTTCTGAAGATCTTGCTGCATTTTATTTTATGCATGGAATAAAATAGATTATATGTTCTAAACAATTTTGACAGATGTGGGGAAGGTCTTGCCTAAATAGTTGCCAGGTAATCAATTAATAATAATTCTAAGTTGCATGATTGGCTGGTTTGAAAATCTTACCAGTTTTATTTTAAAAATTACATAAAATGTTATGTGACGGGAAGTACAGAAATAACTGCAAAATCTCCTGAGTACATAAAATTTAGAGTAACAAATCTGTGCATGCCAAGATTACAACATGTATCATAATTTAACACCTTAACTTAAAAAAACAACCTGAAGTTAAGCAATTTAACTGCATTTCCCCTCATTTAAATGTAAAGACTTCTATTCCTTAGCTGTGGACAAGAAACAATATAGAAATGTACTGAACCTTTTTTCTAATTTTGTATTTAAAAAAAAACCAAATTACACAATGTTAAAATGGCTGGAAATACCTTTCAACTAAAAGACGTTCAACTTTGCAAATTTTGCAAAGAATATCAAATTTCAGAATATACCTCTATTCCAGATATGAATGAAAAACTAGTAACATCCAGAGGTACAGAAGTCCTTAATGTGCATGTTTGCAGTTGTTTATCATAGATATTTTCTTCCCCCTTGTTTAATCTTAAAAGTTTGTTCAGTGTTATCTAACTAGATAGTTTGCAAAAAGGGGCTAATTATATCACATCTCCGAAAAAGGCTATTTTTTCCCAACTCATCTTAAAAAATGTGCAAATTATCTTAGATTTGTTGAGAATATGAATATGTGGGCAAAAAAGTTTTTCTCTGTTTGATCTTACATTAAAGGGTTATTACATTAAAATCAAGGATGCCCCCTTTCATATAAATATGATTTGCTTGAAGAAGATTTATCTATTGGAGACATAAAAGCATAATTGTTATATGTATGCTGATATAAATAGAGTTTACATAAAACTTGTAAACCTTATGTTTGCAGCAGAATTTTTTTTAGGCATTGAGATTTACTCTCTGCAGTTAGACAAAGAAAGAAAGCATGAAAGGAGTTTAGCAATTATATTTTGCATGGATTATTTTCTTTGGACTGTTTTCAGAACACATTTTGAATCAAGAGACTGATAAGGGAAATGGGGTTGAAAGAATGAAAGCAGCCATTTCAGGTACTTGTTCTGAACATAAGTATCTTCTTCCCCATTGCAGGAAAGAGGGAGAAAACAGTTTTTGAATGCTTTACCACCCTCAAAAATCTCTTTAACCTGGCTGTTGGGATTTTTTTTTAAGGTCACTGAAATTTGTCAACATTCCATTAGAAGAAAAAACAAATTATAGAACACATTAGAAGAAAAAACAAAATAAATTAGAATTTTGTAATAGAAAATTATTCTAGGTGCACAATTTCTGATAATTTTTCAAAATCCATAAATAAAAGTATAATTTAGAAACAAACTTACATAGTTATTGGTTTTACAATTCTCACAGCAATTAAACAAACATGAGACTTGAATCCAGAATCCACATGCCTAACTGCATTTTCTTTCTAAACTGATAAAAATCTGCATGTTTTAGCAAGCCACCAAGATATATAATCTGCATTGCAGCACAGTATTATTTAATGCCATCAAACATCTGGATTGTTCCAACTGCATTATAAGATATTGTATCATTCCAAACTATTCCTTGCCTGATATTAAAGATGTGTTTGTATTCTATGTAAAACTTTTTGTATTGTTAGATTGTTCTGTCCTTATAGTCAGTCCAACTTTTCTTAAATATCATTTTATTATTACATAATAATCTTGATCAATTAAAACTGAATATGTCTAATATCTGTCAAAATATTGATAACCACATCTGTAAGTTAGGAATAGTACTACATTTACTATATTCTTTGAAACACAATCAATTAATACTTGTATTTTCAACTGATGGTATCATGAAGACAATAATCTTCGGGCATATATCATTCTGAATTGTGGCATTCCTTTATGTAATGTCCACTATGAGTCCATATTGTTCATATGCTGAACCTAACTTGTTGATCTGTCAGTAAAATATTATGAACCTGATATCTCTAGTCTCATAAATGAAAAGTATTGATGTGCAAATAATGGGAAGATCTTAAGAGCTAAACTGTAAATATGTTTTTCTCAAATTACCAAATCTTTGTTCATATAGAAATAGTGCAGTTAGAAGAGCAAACACTTACAAAGGCAGGGTTATATCTCAAATTTTCCTGAAGTCAGCAATCTGGATTCTCAAACTGGAACTCTTCAGTGGTCATATAAATTGTATAAAATAACAGAACAAATATTATTAAATTAACCAGACCTTGTCAAAAGTAGACAATAGCCATTTTCATAGATATCAATCCTAATATCTAAGATGCCCTTTTTCTGGAACAATCCAATGATGATAGAGTAGAAGTTGGATGTCTGGTTATTTCAGTCCTGCATATATTTGTCAGAAGAAAATTCTCCTTAGATAAAAACATCTGCAGCAAAAGCTGATAGTTTATTTTTTGGTGACACAATATAACTTCCATTGGATCCACTGAGAAGAATCAAGACAAAATTAGACATTGCTATTCTTCAAAACTATATCTATAAATGATTATAGAGGTTATTATGTGGCTTCCCCCCCAGAGCTGCAATAGTTTGTTGCATACACCGGAGACATCTTCTAACATTTATCAGTGGAATTACCTCCAGACGTTGTGGGTACTCCAACATTGGAGGTTTTTAAGAAGAGATTGAATAACCAATTGTCTAAAATGGTATAGGGTTTCCCACTTGAGCAATGGGTTGGACTAGGAGCTCCATGATCCCTTCCAATTCTGTTATTCTGTTCTAGTTCATGAATATCTTGACAGAAGGAAAGGAAGGAAACATGATTTTCTACTGTCTGAAATAGATAATCTTTTGGCAGAAAATAGTTTTATTAAACATACATATTCATGTAGCTGTATGGAGTGCAGAAAGACATGAAAGGTTATTATAAAACAGAAGTGTTATGTAAGCATAACTTCAGCTAATTATCCTGGAGAGATCCAGCTTTCCATCTCAGTGTGGCTCACCAGTGACCTTGGATCAGCAGATATGTCTTACTTTGATCAGGTTCCCCCTGATATCCACATGGCTCTTTTTCCAATGACTTTCTGAAAAGCCTGGGTATTTTATCTAGCAATTGTCGGCTGCCAAGGCTTCTATCATGTGTATAACATTTTAGCCTCTCTGGTTTTATAGGATATGATATATCATAGGATAGATAGATAGATAGATAGATAGATAGATAGATAGATAGATAATAGAATACTTCTGTCAGACCTTGAGGCAGAGTAGATGGCATTATTTACTGGATACCTTTGGCATACTATATATTGTATATATTTTGGTGTTGCTTATGTATACTTATATTTTTATTTCAATGTGTTTTTCTTTATCTTATTTGAATCAAATAAGTAAATACATTTGCCTGTGTAGCTTTTGATGAAGATACAAATGGGACATGAAGCCATAAAGTTTAAGTTCTTTGAAGGAAATCCAGAATATAACTTTAAGCATACTTATGATACTAATGAGTAGAAGTGTGCAAACCATTTAGAGGATCAGCTAGCTTCACCATTGGTCTCATAACAGATAAATTTGGAAGCTCCTCAACGTGGGTTGTATTATGAGTACTTTGGGGCTTCAAGGAGCAGCTTCAGAGAGGAACTTCACCCACAGGAATGCCACAAGGAAGGGATCTTCCAGAAAGTTTTGCACAACTCTAATAATTCTTTCAGGCATGTTATGTGCATAGGCACTTCTGGAATCCATTTACTGGCACTGGAACAGATTAAAGTTAATATTACATATAAGCTAAACAGTTATGCGGATTTTCATTTTTAAAAAGAAAGTCTGGGGTTTTGTTTTGCTTTATTTTGTTTTTTTACAGTTTAGAAACTGGTACCAAATGCCTTTAAGTATACCCAGTGCAAATGTATCTGCTTAACATAAAATCTGTATCAATTCTTCCATGTGAACTGCAAACTTTAGCTAGAACAACCCTCTGCAAATGGAATACCACCATCCATAGACAAGACTGTGATTTTCTTTTGCATCTGTGTGGAGTCTATATTGTCTTTGTTTGCAAAAACAGTTGACCACAGAGGAGAAAATAGCTACATGAAACTTTTGTGAAAAACTGAAAAAAAAAAAAACCGGACAAATTAGGAGGCAGAAAGATGGCCAGCTCACTAGCAAAAAGTACACGTGCAT